AATTCAATGGAAACGTCAGCTCAACTCATATCATTGTGGGAAAATTCTACTACCAGTCCTTCATCACCTAGACGAAATAGGGTAAATACATCTTATTTCCAGAATTTTTGTTAATTCTAAAGATATTTAGTTCTTCAAATAACAGATAAGCCTGGCCAAATTTATTCACATAATGAGACAGCCTTAATTCAGGCAGCCTCATTCTAGATATCGCGAGCAAATGAACAATTAACTCGGTTTTCGAGCATTTCCCTGCCGCAAACTATGCCTATTTCTGCTGATGCTGATACCAGTTAAGAGGTTCTCGCCACCGGACGGACTGTACGTCAATGTGTCTTGATGGAGAGACAATCTATTGAAGGACTGCTGGTTCTAACGGATGGCAAAATAGCATGAAGTGCACATGCCTTCCAACCCTTTATCTCACAGGAGCATCCGAAAGTACCAAATATTGATTATGGTAGATGGAAAATACCTGCATCATTTGCCAGAATCCATTGACATGCAGGGTCAGCCTAACAACTACGTTTATCTGGTCCTGGAACTTGAATTGCGGACAATGTGATATTTCGCCACTGAGACAGTAAATTTCGTTTGAATACTCCTACTACCACTACTACTAATAACAATAATAATAATAAATTAATACATAATATTATTAATAATGCAACACATTGCTGCATTTATGAATTTAGTATAATCCGGACAAGTTTTCCTCTAAACTGTTGACACTTCTATGAGTAAAATTGCAATGAAGCAACAATCCGACCTATGGACATTCCTAAGTACAAATTGCGATGTGTTATTTCGCAAGTAACAAATGTACCTAACGCATGAAAACATTTTGCGATTTTGCCCAAGACAGGAAGGCTCGAGGGACGCAAACTATCCCTTTGGCACCTGTAGGCTTGGCGAACTGTGTGAACTGCTTACCTTAACAAATGCTGGTTTCATCTGATGTTCATCTGCATACTCCTGTAATTCGTCTATCGTTATTATTCGGTCTTTATCCTTATCGATTTGATTGAAGGCCTTCAGGAAACTCTCCATGATTACTCTATCGATTTGATCGGCCTCGTGGTACAGTCGATCCGGTGGAAGGGCGCAGTTCTTTTTTCTCCCGGATCAGGTCCGTGGAGCAACGGGACGTTGTTGTGCCGTGGAAAAAAGGCGTCAAGGTTGTGTCAGTCTGAAATCCTATGTTAGGAGGCAATGAGGCCAGAAGATATGCATAGCATGTGAGGGCTGGCATGTTGACAGTAGGGTCGATCTGTACAGATGAATAGACGGACTGACTGTCGGATAGGATGGAGCAGTAATGAGAGAGATGTGGAGGACAGCACACCGCCAACCTTGCCACTGGCATGCGAGCATGCGCTAATGCTCGCCTAAAATCTCTCCACTTTGGAAGGCAGCAAGAGACCCGGAGAACACCAGAGCATAAGTTGAATGCAGAGGTAGCACGTGAAAGGACAAACTTGTGCATCAGTGCGTTCATGGACCAGCAGAACTTTGGGTGACAATTGGGCTGTAGTGTGCAAGCATACATACAGGCAACTAATTGCACTGAGCGATTGATCAGTTTTGTGAGTAACCCCTCCTGTCCAAGATCGGCCGCAACGATAACGTTACAACTTAATGAACAAACAAAAGTGATATTATAAGGTCCAAGTTACGCAACCAGACATGCTCGTCTGGTGGCAGATCGGATGAGGTTGCCACCCGTCAAGCTGTCTTAGTAACTCAAAAGTATGAGAACCAAGATGGTATGGTCTCCTTTCATTATATAGAAACTATTCGACCTTGTTTTCGCGATTTGGTAATATTGGCAGAAAGACCTAGAGGAACACACCTTGTCTGGGGTCCCTAGTAAGCATGGTAATTTCCATTGTCAGGCCGTGGACTTGGTACATTGTCAGACATTGGGCCAGCATCGTCACTGAGCTTTGCCATTCTTTGCACAACACGAGGGATTATCAATGAGACAATTTTATATTTGCTACAACAATCAAGTACCTTAACTATATTATTTCAGTGTAATGAGATGTCTCGAAACCCTACTCAATTACGAATATATTATTTCATATATGGGTTTTAGAGACTACCAGTAGATCACACACATATATATATGTATATAGCATTAAACAATTTGCAGTTCGAGATCAAGCCAATTACTGTGTACTCGGATTGAGTAATGACTGCTCTTTTCTTATTTAATTAACCCGTTAACCTTGGGTGAGAAGGTGTTTGACATCCTGTATGTTCATTTATGTATCCTATTGTTGTCTAGTCTCTAATGTCATTAATCCATGTCTGAAAAGCCATATTATTCTTTTCTTACAAATTTTAATTATTTATTTTGTAATGATGAAGTATTATCGTTAAATTCGATGTATTAACACTGATTGTCGCCCCTGTCCTCTTATGAAATGAAAATAAATCCGGTTGCTGTCTTCAAAAGTCACTAAGCCACACATCCCCAATGTACTTTCCTATCGTGTTCCTAACTCGGTTCTTCGTCTTCGCAATGCTTATTCAATCTTAATCCTTGTTAAGAAATGTCTTCTATGCGACCAAATGACATCAGAGCCGATACATTTTTGGTCAAAGTACCTAACGAAATTAAAATCTACTAGGAGTAAGAATTCCTTTTTGGGATGCAAGAAATATTAGAAATATACTGAAAATTTCCTCATCACTAATTATTCACGGCCGAATCACTTGACAATTTAAAAATAAGCTAATCAAAATAAGGCATTTTTTCAACAATTTTGACGTATATTTTGACGCTCCTGTTATTAATAATTTTAATGCTAAGATAAAATTTTACAATTAATATAAATGATGAATTACATCAAGGTTAAATCAAGACAGCATCCACCAATTAAATATAGGTGCAAAGATGCCTCCATTTGCATGCAAAACTGTGACAAAGGAAGTTTGACTCACTAGAGGCCAATGATTCGAGAAATCTAGTGTACTTATACAGACCTGCTTTTTTCATATGTTGAGAAGGATTCTTCTCATGCAATCTAATAATAAGCAAAATTATTTAAATCACCAAAAAATACCCCATAAAGGTTGCTTAAACCTGCGAAGCTTCTGCTGTACACTCTTAGCCTCAACTAGGAGCACAGGCCATATTTTAGCAATATCTAATTTATGAATAAGAATTAATGGCATCGAAAGTTACTCACTACGAATAACTGATTTATGCCTTGCATCGAAATAAAACTGAGGGGGAGAAATGTGTTGTGGCTGCCAATACGAGACAAAACAGGTAGAGGCAAATTTCATATTCACAGATGATAAATTAAAATGTGCTAGAAGTTCGTTTAGTCTGGACGAAATAATTGATATGTCACCAAAAGGTCTGCAAATATTTGCCATATAAGCAAAAAAGTAGCCAGACATCACGTGAAAAAATGTGAATTTCTGTCAACTACACCTCATTTTCTCCCCTCATTTCCAAAGCCTCGTGGTTAGCAGCATTCAGGGGCTAGCTAATTAATCAACACTCTAACCTAACAAGCAGTTCAAAGTTCATTTATATGACCAAAGGGTAACGCTAATACCTTTTGTCCTATGAGGGCCTCTGTCGCTAGGCCCAGCAAATTCTCGAGCCATAGAAATGTTATTTTTCGCATTAAGTATTGTTTCGAGACTACCAGTAAATGAGTAATATGAGATGTATTCACACATTTTCGTTCAAGGTTATGAGGAACTGATAGTAGAATTTTCCTACAATGATATGAGTTCAGCTGACGTTTCCATTGAATTTCACATTGCTTTGCTTTTCCAAAAGTTGTTTTCATTCAGGGTGGACTGCAGTTCAGACCTCGCATCGGTCTTGTCAATTATTATAGCGAGGCTATGTGAAATTCAAAGGAAACGTCAGCTCAATTCATATCATTGTGTGAAAATTCTTCTACCAGTCCTTCATCACCTTAAATAAAATTGGATGAATACATCTCATAAAAATTTTAAACACAAATTTAGTTAAATCTTGATCAGATAAGAAAACTAACAAATGTGACTTTAGAGATGGGAAAAGTGAAGAAACAAATAACTCCTATCCAAATTTTTATACAACATAAATGTCATATGAAATGAACTTTTATAGCCTTGATTGTAAGTAGTTTGTAAGTAGCCGGGGTCACAGAAAATGCGCCAAAAGACTGGTTCCTCCAGCAAAAGTCACGGCATTCTAGTCGATACGTAGCAAACGCCTTAATTCAGGTAAGCAGGTGGACGCGAGTATGTATATCGTTGAGGTGAAAACATAAATCTTCCCTCTTGAAGGTAAAATTTGTTGAAAGGAATTCGTCAATTAGTGTTACCTGAAACCGAAGAAAGATCACCTTCGAGAGGAAATAATTTAATTATGTTAAGAAGATATGATTGTAGCCGGTAACACTTTCACTTGGCTAATTTTGTTCGACTTGTTTTTTTCACGAATGCTGTCTCACTTATGGCATGCCTTCCTAATGAAAGACGAAAACTTTTCACGTATTTATTATGATGGCAAGACGATGAGCCGAAGACTTCTGCAAGCATTCTAACAGTCTTCACTGCAAAGTAATTGTTCTTTGGATTCTGGTCAGACCAATTCATAAATTCCTTCCAAATTAGTTTACCTTTTCAATGAAAGCCATGCAACAACGAAGACTGCTACCGAACTCGGTACACATCATTTTGATCGCAATATCTACCGTCTAGTGCACTAGATTTAGACCAAGAAATAATTTAAGTCATGCCTACTATGCCTTAAATGGCGTGTCTATGGAGTAACACATGTTATCGTGTTTCCTACTGAGACCATCCAGCTAAGGCTCAATTTCCGAAAAGAAACCATCAAGACGAGTAATAGAGGCTTAAATTGCACTCTGGCCTACAATATAATGGCCTCTTAGTTTGTATGATTCACTGAATGTAAATGCCAAATTAGGCTTTTCCTTTAATTTCACACGAAGATCATAAATGTGATATCATAAAAGAGAGCGATCAAATTACAGATATTTGCTTTCATGTAAGTGTTACTAACCCCTATGAGTATAGTAGAGTTGTGTTGAGGGATCCAACCTAAGGAGGGAAACCCGCTATAGTGTGTGGTGCAAATATTTGGATGTCTGAACAGTATTTCGTCTTTATGAGTTTGAGTAATAGGCAAGAAGGATAGGTTGAGAACGCGCCTTCAGCTATCCAATAATACCCAACCTCTATTGGGAGCACATTTTCTAGCAAAATCCGCTGGCAAAAACAAGGATACTCTTTATTTCATTGTTGGCAGATAGAATGCCAATAAATGTAAAGTTACTACTCCACCGATGGGGTCTCTATGCAGTTCTGCCATCATTACTATGACCAGAAATGCTTGACCACTCGGCTCAACTCTACAATTAATGCCTTGGCAGAAGCTCTTTGGTTGTGGGAGCAAAGAAAAATACGGTAAAAACTAGCTTACCCAAATTATTTGATTCGTTTTATTCCTGAAGAGGTTATAAATCGATTATTGAGTATGAGCCTGTCATTGGGCACCTTCTTTCAATGTTCGTAGATATAATGTTATAGATGATGAGATCTTATTTTGACAACAGCCTATTATCGCCACCCCATCTTGCACTTCCTATTATTATATTTTCGTTTGAATAATGAATTTAGATATTTTGTCTGCGAATGAGAGCATGGGAAGTTAGCAGATGTATGAGAAGGGTAAACGGCGGAAAGTGAAATTAAAGAATATTCGGCAAACTTAACGGAGCAAGCATATAAGACCCAAAACCGTGTAACTAAGGTACATTGAACATAAAAATTGAATGACAAATTAATTGGAGGAGTTGCTAAGATGGTTGGAGGTTATTTAAGAATTAAGTGCGGAAAACGCTCGGCAGATGTGGAGGATGTGCTGAAATAAATTAAAATAAGGAAAGGGTCAGAGGATGGCGGAAAAATTCGATGGCACAGAAATGGATACATTAAGCGAGGGAAAAATGTGCAAAAGACTTCTTTGAGAAGTTGGCCAAGCACAAAAAATAAACATCATTGAGCAGTAAGTTGGCTAACACATAATTTCGATACTTCTCTTTCATGGTTGGTTATCAGGATTTATGCGATAGAGGGCAATATCACTTGTTTTGCTGTATATGAACTAGTAATGAATTTGGCTCATTGATGCCAATCTCTGGCAAAACTATTGATATTTATAAGACAACTCCCAAAGTTATTTGGAGGGAATTACGTAAGAATACCAAAAGTTTATGGAAGAGTTATATTGACAGGTTGTTGAGGCATTATAAAGCAAGTAAAATGATTTAAATGGAAGGGGTGGAAGAATTCTGAAAGGTAA